TACACCCAGCCGCTGATGCCCCCTAGACCCTGCTGCTCCCCAGGCCCTCCTGCTCTCCAGCCGCTGCTCCCCAGTTGAACTACTTCCCAGCCGCGCTGCCCCCCAGACCCTACTGCTTCCAAGCCTCATTGACGGCAGGATTGATGCGCTGAAAACCGTTTCTAGGTTGCCACCGTTCCCAACATCTATGACGCGTCAAGGGTTATATTTGCTGGGCATCCACAAGGTGCACACTTCGTAACCAAATGGCTTGCATGAGCTTTGGCATAGCAAACGCATGAATAGAGACAACAAAAACGAATGCTCAGCAACATCTGACGCGCAGGACACATCTGTTCTGCTTACTACGGCTCACACGGGCACTTTCTTATGCGTGTCGCACGTGCATGATTGCGGTAAAAACGGCTGATTTATGTATCGGTTCAGCAAAACACTGATTAATGCCGTGTATTCATCCCCGACCCGTCTCCAAGGCGTATGCCATCTCACGGGAAAACGTGTCATGGGAATGACGTGACTCCACACCCCCTCCGGCCTCGTCACACTGTGACGAGACGGCATCCACACCCCACCCGCAGCTATCCATCACGCGAGTGATGAATCATCGTGGCTGAAGTGGCAGCAGCGCTCCTAGCAGTGCAGCGCCCTGCTGTTGTAATGGTGCTGGAGCACGGATGGGAATGACATAATGTTCGATGATGGTTGTTTGGGAACGTTGGACGACATACCTGTAACGTGTTTTGCTGTCTGCCGGCTCCCCATTATTGACGTATTTCCGCTGGGGTACGGCAAACATCAGAAGACTTAGCAAATCTCCCGAGTTTGAAACAATCAGGTGTTTTGGTTAAAGGAGCGATGTCGGGTGACAACGCTATGTCAAATTATGTTGAATCATGTTGCTCGATATGTGTTAGGTGTTAAAATATGCTGAATGGGGCAAAAGAGTTGTATCGTCAGTATCAACAATGCTGTGAAATTATAAACACAATTAGTTTCTACCCATTGTTTTCTTTCGTCAGATAAAGTTTCCGCACGGTTCTATCACCAGTGCAGTGTTTTCATGGCATAGTGTCTGTACTGATGTAGTGCAATTCAGTGCCTTATCTTCGCCGTGCTGTTTTCATCGCGCGGATAGGCCTCAATTCAAAGGGCCCCTTATGGAATATTTTCTGGAAATATTTGACCTCGAAGCACCATCTATCAAACGACAATGACAAATAATTCTGGAGTGAGAGCAACTTTGATCGCGTTTGAAAGTGTATTTAGAGCAAAGTAGAGCTCTCACAATGCATGCGTGGCCAGAGGGTTAAAGTTTATGCTAACATTTTTGACTTTTATTAGATGTCTTGAATTTAGTGGTTGGCATGTTTATGATAATTTGCATTCTAACCACAATAATTTTCGTTCGTCATCTGTTTCTGATCGCTTCAGCCAGCTATGGGTATGAACGTAGAGTTTCGCCTGGTTCCAAAAATAGGTACGCTAATACGCCACGAAGAATCCGTTCTCCCGCCCCAAACAACGAACAGAGCCAGAATGAATGTTAACACGCGCTCGGGTGGGGCTGGGGTCAAATTGACTCCCCCCCAAGGTTTTTTCGGAATGGTTTCGGAGCGGCTTGGCGTAGCCGCGCCAAAATTTGCATAGATGTAGACAACTGAATGGCAGATCGTTTGGTATCAAAAATTTAGCTGTACCTTGTAAGGTTGCTGACCTGTGGCAGGTGAAAGTCACACCATGGTTTCAGCGAAGGCAATTTCTAAGGAATCGTTTAACCTGATCCAAAAACGGAGTGTTAGACAAAGTCATACATCTCTGAGATAATTTCTTAGGCAACACCACAGTTAAAGGAATAAATTACATTGACCTAGGGTCAGGTATGAAGCACAGACCAAGGTCAAAATAAACCTGGTTTATTACTCTAGGACTTCCTGCATGACTCAGTTTCAGGCGCCCATTTTGAGTTTATTAATAACAAGAACCGTATTATACACCTTTCATGGACTTCTCAAAGGTCAGAATAGGCCACTGACCTAAAATGACCCAGGTTAACATTCTGCTTTTAAGAACATGCTGTCTAGTATAATCTGCATTGCTTATTTAAATGCAATTCTCGAAGCGGTCTTCCACGATTTTGGTCATCATGACCTTCAAAAGGTCCAGCAAGGTAATTGGCCTTAAATGAATGTGCGACCTCTTGCTTAGAACAGCTATTTAGAATCCAGAGGCACTTTGGAGACCATCTGGAATTTGACACTGTTTGACCTTATTTGACACGAAGGTTATGACCTAGAAACCTCAGGTTCTGATCTGAGTGAATTCACGTACAGAACGATATAGCAACCTGTACGTGTGTTTGATTCAGCGATTTTGTCAGCCACTCTGTGAATTTGATGTGCCTAGCTCTCTTAGTTTCTGAGACCTCGGGGGGGGGGGGTCAAATTGACCCCCTCCCGAACGAAGGGAATCCAACCGGCCACCCGGGTGGATGTTAAAGGAAGTGTTCCTCATTTGTATAGGGTTTTGAGCTGAAGTAGCCATTTTGAAGATGATCCGATGCATTTCAGAGCTCCATCTTCTTAAGACCTAATATCATCTGGTTTCTGAGTTACATACTCGCCAAGATGTGCAGACCATTTCGTGCAGACTTTATCAATGTCATCCAGGCATGCATGACACTATAGCAACGCCATCCGAATTCTACCACGCCAATGGCCATGCGGCGTTCAAGGTCAGAAAGAATATTATCGTCGAGTGGTTCCAACATAGCATCCGTGAGCACGATTCCCAACCAGCTGGACATAATTGTTAGTTATTACAGAAATAAGACTTGGAATCGAATAACTGAAGGATAGCGACATAGCCAGGCATATAAATGCAAGTAAGCTTCATATGCCACGGACAAACACGCAAGAACACCACGAGAAAGGACCGAAATACCAACACATACCAATATTTGGCTCAGCAAATGCTTTCAGCACCGTGCCGCAAATCTCTCAGCGAGTTTGAAGCACAAGTTAGTGTAAGCGTGGTAAGTTTGCACGGCTAGTTTGGTAGCACCTCACCGTCACACAAACGTTTCATGACGCGTCAAACAATGGCGTATTGAGGAGTATAGCTCCTAATTCAAAATTGTGTTGCCTAGAGCCGTTTTTCCACTTAAAGGGAATGCTTCACTTTTGAAGATATTGAAGCAAATATCAGAGATGATTCAAAAGGCTAACTTTTGAATTTACGTATACTTTTAAGTGAAGAAGACTCCTCTCGACAACACAACTTCTCTGCCCAGTGAACATGCTCCTAAATCCTTCATTGTTTGATTGAGCCATCGTACCTTGCACAACATTGATTCAGAGCCAATTGGCGGCCGTTATATCTGGAAATCGTGCTCATGAACGCCAGATATTAACGACTCAACAATTATATTTTGTCTGGCCTTGATCACCGCATGGCTGATGGGATAGCAGAGTTGGAATGACATAACTGTGACGCCATGGATGTCTGCGTGACCTTGAAACAGTCCCTGAAATAGCATGCACATTTTCGAGGGCGTATATCTCAGACACTAGAGGGGCTTAGGTCTTGGAACTGGCTGGGCTGTGAACTGCAGTTAATGATTTTCAAGATCGCTATTTTAGTTAAAAGCCCAACACAGATGTGGAACACTCCCTTAAAAAATATATACCAAAAGTTAAAAGTGACCTTCTTCACCACATCGGATGCCTGCCTCAATATCTTAAAATGTGGAAGGCTTCCTTCGAATTATCTAGTGCCTGCACGTCCAGAATGAACCCCGCGCTGCTGCCGCACCAATGCGTTCCGTGTTGAATCGCGTCTCCGGGGGCCGGTCTCCGGACGCCTCCGGACCAGCCGACCTCCCTGCGGGGAGTGCAGCTGACTCCGCGACCCAGGGGTTTACCCGATTACGCCATCTGCGAGGCATCACAATCATCGGGACGCAAGTGCCCCAGATGAGTGCAGCTGGTTGTGTGCGAGTGACAAAAAATACACAGACCTTTCGCTCACAGAAATTAATGTCTTTGTTTCATAAAATATAAGCCGGATAATCGAGGCTTACAGAACGAGCCGCTGCAAGGAAAAACTTGTCAAAATGTCACCCCGAACAGGTAAATAATGTAGTTGGATGGTGTTAAACTACGAGATGACTTTCATATCTACCTTGCGTTGCATACCTACAGCACATCTGAAGAGGGCTGTCAGTGCCTAATTGCCGACAAAGACACGCAAAACATACTGGTGTCGTTTCTCATTACATCAGTCTCTTATGTCGTCTTCTATCACTTTCAACCAGGCTTGCTGTAGTTGAATTATGATTGCAGTGACCACATTTACTCGGCCTCAAGCCCATGTCAATGTGAGAAGCGAAAGCTGGCAGCGATTGCAGAGTCACCCCGCAGCGGACAGGGTCTGCTGGGACGGTTCCTCCGGATCCGGTTTGTGGCTGGGACGACTCCGTCGGATCCAGTCTGCGGCTGGGACGACTCCGCCGGATCCGGTCTGCGGCTGGGACAACTCCGCCGGATCCGGTCTGTGGCTGGGACGACTCCGCCGGATCCGGTCTGTGGCTGGGACGACTCCGCCGGATCCAGTCTGTGCCTGGGACGACTCCGCCGGATCCAGTCTGCGGCTGGGACGACTCCGCCGGATCCGGTCTGCGGCTGGGACGACTCCGCCGGATCCGGTCTGTGGCTGGGACGACTCCGTCGGATCCAGTCTGCGGCTGGGACGACTCCGCCGGATCCGGTCTGCGGCTGGGACGACTCCGCCGGATCCGGTCTGCGGCTGGGACGATCCCGCCGGATCCGGTCTATGCCTGGGACGACTCCGCCGGATCCGTTACCCAGCCGCGTTTGCGCTGCGCCAGCCTCGCCGCCGCCGGCGCTCGGTCGACCCCGTCGCCGTCGACGGGAGGGTCGTCGACAACGACGGGCGGCGTCGGCGGCGACGAGTCGTCACTCGTCAGCTGTCGGGCGTCGGTGGCGGTGCGGAGCCGCTCTCTCGTCCGACGCTTCCCCGCCGACCGGGCCGAGTCGCGTCCGGGCCGAGAGAGCTGCAGCGCACACTGACAGCACACGAGCTGTGCTGCCCCGCGAGGAGGCGCTGGGGCAGACATTGCTGCGCTGTCCGACCAGGCAGGGCACTCCCGTCACCTCCAGCCGGTCGGTCCAGACAGGGCACGTCTCCTGATTCTGCTCAGCCACCCGACCAGACGTCTGACTGCAGGTACGCGCTGTTTGTGCACGGGCGAGGGGGGCAGCTCTGATCGTGGATTTCGCTAGACCTGAGGAAATCTGTCTCTATCAAGGTGCCCAATGCTGGGATAATTAGTGGCAATGCACCTCATGTTTGCAAGGTGCATCCTAGGCCTCTGCGACGTAACGGGATCCAGGGACGATTCAGCAGATAACCATTCAGACTTCTATCCCTATAGAAAAATAGTCGGCTCGCGGTTTTTTGCTCTGAGATCAGGGCTCAAGTAAGGGCTAACGGTTTCGCTGCAGTATTATCGCAGCAATGGACGCCAGACCGAAGTATTGTGGAGCTGGCGATCCGACGCTGCGTCCATTGGCTGAACATCCGCAACGAGTTCGCCTTAAAGCTTCCATGCAATAGCGCTATGCCTGCTGGGATGCGACCAGCTTCCCCATCAAAGCAATGAATGCTCTGACAAAGATTCCATCCAAACAACTATTACAAAGCTTAGTAATTTTGGCATGTCGCATTTCCATGCTGTTCCTTTTTGAGGGCACAACGGCACGAACAGGAGGAGTATCCATAACGGCATACCATGTTCAGTGTTAAACAAGAACATAAACACCTCTCGTGTGATCCGATGTCACGAACACACAAAGAAGGTCCAACCTGCCCAAATCTTACTTGGGTCCGGACTCCGCCAATCCCGGTGGCGGACAAGTCTCTGGGCCAGCCGCGTAGCTTCGCAAAATGAGTTGGGGGAGGCGACTGAACAGTGAAAAATTACCCACCCAACCCCGAAAATAAGTCAACAAACAGATCTTTCGCAGACTTGGCCCATTTCCTGCTCAAAGTTGGGGGGGGGGGGGCTGAAGCACCCTAACTGAATAGGAAAATGCACTCCTGTCCATGGTGGTAATCATACTGATGAACATGAAATCATGGTCGTGTCAGAGCAGAGGCAAAAGTAAACTGTCTCCCAGAGCGATTCGTTTCCAACTGCGGCCGGAGACATCCGTCGACGGCGTCCTGGGCGACGCGACTGTCCGGCGCGCCGGCCGAGGACGGCGTCGCTGGGCCCGTGCGTGCCGGCATACTGTGCCGCAGTGCTCCGCTGTGCGGCGGGTCGGGCGGCTTACCTGGGGCCAAATGTCGGCTGGTCCGTCCTTCGATAATGAGAGAAGGAGAACGGTGCTCTTCAGATTAAGCAAATCATGAGTCGTTTAGCCGGCACTGGTACCTGTGCCTGTGCGTCTGTGTGCCTGTGTAAACCTGTGCTAGCGACCATTTTACACCAATTCCTGCCTAGCGCAGAAAATCACATAATGTGCCATGCGGGGCACCGAGCGCTGACCCCTCCACCGGTATGCCATCAGTAGACGGTAGAAACGACTGAGAGCCGCTCTGTCAAACCACACATTAACCGTTCGTTGCTGAAGTTTGTGTGTCTCTGGTGTGAATGTGTTTAGATCTCATGAATGGTCCCATGCAGCGGACAAAGCACGGCTTTTGCGTCGGGGTGGAACGGGGAGGATGACTGGGCGATCAGTGCTACGATAGATACCGAATGACAGACGCTGTCCGACTGACCGTTTCTTCACTTGATTAGCAAGCCATTCCCGGCTATTTATTCATGGTGGCTGGGTGTGGTTTTCCATTTTGGATGCCGGGGGACCCACAAGTGGAAATATTTTGTTGCAATTCTTTAGATTTAAGCTCTTTTCACCTCTAAGTATGCTACAACAGCCTCCGCTGAGTAAAAGCCGCTTTTATGTTTTCCAAAGTCTAGAAATGTGTGCTTTTTGGACGACTTCAGCTTTCTTACGGGTTATGGTCCGGTCGCCCCTGGAAACGCCGTTGAATATTTTTCTGAGCGGCCGGGGGTGAGCAAACAGGAGCGGATCTAGCCTGGAGTTTGGGGGGGGGGGCAACCGTTCGTCGCCAGCTGGCTGGTGTGGGATCCGAGGTCCAGTGCATGGTGCCTCTCGCGAGTGCGTAGTAGGGACACCATTCAAGCACCGAAATGCTTTTGAATCTTCTATATAGAGTATGCATGTTTACGAAGCTCGTAACATAAGATATTGCTTTCAAGAGTCAACAGAAATGTTTGATACCGCACCATCAAAGTTAAAGCAGACGGTATGTAGGCGAAAGCTTTATGAAGTTCTGGGAATGTTTGGGGGGGGGGCAAAACATACTCCCAGAGTTTTTTTGGGGGGGCCATGACCCCGTGCCCCCAGGATCCACCTATGTGGGCAAAGGTACCTAAATACTTTAAGTACCAAAGGATGTGTATCAAGCCGGCTTCTTCCGCCCGTCACCATCCATCGTCACATTCATGCAGAACTCACAGGTCTTCGCGGATGAAAAGCACTTCAAACGAAAAACAAATGGCATTATTGGATTGGCTAGGTAACTTTCTGTCCAACAGGCCTTACGACAGATTTCAGGGTCAGAAAACTGTGCATTTGCGCGCCCATAATCGCTTCTAGAAAACTGTACATGTGCGTGATGGGTGGGTAATCATAAAAATGATTAAAATAATGATGATTTATAAGGTCATGTTTTGTGCGATATTTAGTTGCTGAATGATTTCTGGCTCATGTAGTATGGCCCAAATAATTCGATATTTGAACATCCGAGAGGCATTTCTGGCTCATCTTTGGATTTTAAATTGCTCAACACGTAATGTCCTTTCCGATGAAGTTCGGTCTGTCTACAAGACCTGATAAGTCTGCATCGTGTCGTTATATCTCTGTAAGCAGTCTCTGTAGACTGTGTCACTTGAGGCCCGTTTTCAAACACATGTAACGGTGTCAGCACGTCGCTCGCAGTCCGCGGGATCGTCCGTTGCCGCCCGTCACCCGCGCTGGCCGTGGGTCGTCGTGCAGTGTTCCTAAGAGTAGGTGGCTACTCAGAGTAGCCACCTACTCGTGCAGTGTTCCTAAAAGCAGGCGGCTACTCAGAAGCCGGCATTGCTAGGGACGCGTTTTACGTAAAAACACGCGCAATGGATGTCCCGGAGCATACGAAAAGATTGGTCGCCATTGCACAACGTACCGGAGAGGTAACCGCCGAAAAACCCCGAGGCAGCTCGTGCAAAGCCGATCGTTATTTGAAAACGCAGAGGGCTGTGTACAGCCTGTTGGCATCGGATCTGAAACGTACCCACGACAGCCGCCTCATCATGGACCTAGAATCAGGTCAGCAGGTGCTGCGGATGCGCCTTGTGGCCAGATCCTTATCCGTTCCGCTAAAATACAGAGGCTGGTGTACTCATTGCATGACAAATTCATAACCGGGCTCCGCACTGGGGGCTCGGCCACGGCAGTTTTACTATGGGAACGAAACTTCTGACTGCCTGGCCAGCGAAATGGCCGATTTGGACCAGGCCACCGATCCTGTCGACCCGACCACCGCGTAAGTGGTATTAGGTGTAACACTGTTGATTTGGAGCATGTCAGAGTCGCGGCAGCCCGCGCCCAAATGCAACATCCGATAAAATCCTAACCCACTGGGCCTCACCACCGTCTCCCAGCAGCGGATGAATGAAATTTACGTGTGGACACATGGAGTTCAGGCCTTCGTTTTAAGATACGGTTGAATTATCTTATGAAATAGGCAGATTGCTGTTCCCAGAAACCTAGAATTGGATTTAAAATTACTTGCACTAACTACAGATGGGTAATGTCATCGCACTAAACAAAATATATTTAGGACAGATGTTCCCAGCCTTTGATATATGTGCCCCTCATCCGCAATGTTATCTTAGAATCAATTCAGCAAGGCGTCAAGTCCATAAAGTTTACTTAAGCTTTATTGATGCACATTTAGCATATTATTTAGTGGAGTGGCAATCACCATTTAAACTAGCAGTTCCGCTCTTGATGCGCATAATCAAATTTTAGGTAGGCTCTGAGGCAACTCCTGTGCGTATTCTGGCAACAAAAACTTGTCCCAGCATTCTTATTTTCTGAGAATCGATGTCTTGTTTTTAGAAACAGTGCACCTATTTATACTACCAAGGTTAGCGTTCATGGTAGAATGAATACAACGTGAAACCTTAACCATACGCCCCTACCAATTGCAAGAGTGTACATATTTGACTCGCTCAACCAAGACACGTGCGTGTGTGCAGTCGAAAGTACACTGAAAGATAGAGGGCGCTGCTCTGCCTCAGCCAAGTGACTAAAGACTGTCACCCTTCTCACAGATTTATAGTAAATCGCCGGGTCAGTTCTTGGATATGACTAAATCACCACACTCTTCCAAATTTGTCTCCAAATTTCTACTGGGCGCGAAATGTCACCGCTCACAGCTGTCAATGAGATGCAAAACGAAACAATTTCAATGATCACCAGATTAGGAAATTGTGTTTAATTTAACTGTGGTGAATAAACGGCGTATGACACCTGATGGCGGCGAGATTAAAGCCCGTGAGCCTCCCACTCGGCTCCGCTTTGGATTTTTTTTAGAACTGGAACTTATGGGAAACGGCATAATTTCGTTTCGGAGTCACAGCAAATTTTTTAACCAATTTGTTTCACTTTTCTTAATCTCAGCACGCTGTCGTTAGGGCTGCATCGTCACCATGGATCACCAGCCGCTGACCTACCCGACCACCGAAAAGGGCGCACGCAAGCCCAAGTGCGCGCGCTGCCGTAATCACGGCGTCATCTCGTGGCTGAAGGGCCACAAACGGCACTGCCGCTTCAAGGACTGCGCATGCGCCAAGTGCAGCCTGATCGCCGAGCGGCAGCGCGTCATGGCCGCCCAGGTGAGTCTGCAGGTAACCAGAGCACCGCGCGGCCGCTGCCGCCTCCGGCTGGGACGTGCACATTAGGCGCCTGGAACTCGGTGCTGATAGCTGTATATAGAGAGCTGAGATGTACCAAGGATGCCGAATGATAGTTCATTACCTTTGTGCGGGCCTAAACCCATTGTCTATGTACTTTTATTTTGGCTTTGATCGCCCTTGGCTTGGCGTTTTAGAGCGGTCTGCACGGTGCGCGACGCGACCATCGGTGCCGTGTTCCGGCCTGTGTGCTGATCTGTGCCCTGACTGGCGAAAGGTCCGTGTCTCAGCTTCCGGGCAGATCTCTGTCCCAGCAGAGGCCCGACTTGCGCCCCCCCCCCCCCCCCCTCTCCCCCACATTCGCCCCGATCTGTTCCCCGGTATATGTCCTGATCTATGCCCAGTGCATGTCTCGATCTGTGCCCGGTGCGTGTCTCGATCTGTGCCCCTCAGGCGTCCTGATCTGTGCCCGGTAGGTACCTCGATCTGTGCTCGATAGGCGTCTCGATCTGTGGCTCGGTTTGTGTACCGATCTATGCACCGGTTCTTGTCCCAGTCCGTGTTCGTCTTAACCCTTAACCCTGGTTTGCAGGAATGTTGTACCTCTGTCTCCACCCCATCCTAAAGGAGCGTCCGTCCCACTCTGTTGTGGCGATTTGTTCCATCCCAGTCGGTAAGAGTGCCCGTCCCAGTCTGCGGGAGTTCCCGCTCCCGTCTGCTCCCGCCCTGTCGGAACGTTACGTCTCGCTCCCGCCTGTCGGAGCGTTACGTCTCGCTTCCGTCTGTTGGAGCGTTGCGTCCCGCTCCCGTCTGTCGGAGCGTTACGTCCCGCTCCCGTCTGTCGGAGCGTTACGTCCCGCTCCCGCCCGTCGGAGCGTTACGTCCCGCTCCCGTCTGTCGGAGCGTTGCGTCCCGCTCCCGTTTGTCGGTGCGCCGCGTCCTGCTCCCATCTGTCGGAGTGCCGCGTCCCGCTCCCGTCCGTGGGAATATTACGTCCCTTTCCCGTCTGTCGGAGCGTTGCGTCCCACTCCCATCTATCGGAGCGTTGCGTCCCGCTCCCGTCTGTGGGAGTGCTACGTCCCTCTCCCGTCTGTCGGAGTTTTACGCCCCTCTCCCGTCTGTCGGAGTGTTACGTCCCGCTCCCGTCTATCGGAGCGTTGTGTCCCGCTCCCGGCTGTCGGAGCGTTACGTCCCGCTTCCGTCTGTCGGAGCGTCCCGCTCCCGTCTGTCGGAGCGTTGTGTCCCGCTCCAGCCCGTGGCAGTACCGTGGCCGCCGCCGCAGGTGGCGCTGAAGAGGCAGCAGGCGGCCGAGGACGCCATCGCCATGGGTCTGCGCGCCGTGGCCACCGGCTCCAGCTGCGCCTACCTGCCGCCCGGGCCCATCTTCGGCATGAACATCACCCGGCCCCAGGGCGGCAGACCCGTGGCCGACACCGGTACGGTGAAGCCGGTGCAGGGGCTCAAGCTCTCGCCGGCTGGCTTCGTGCGCTGTGGCTTGCACGTCCAATATATGACCTGTTGTGTACAAGGGGAGACGCGCAGATCTGTTATTGCCAGATGCACCGCTCGCAGTCTGCATACTACGCCAGAATATTTTTGTGCACGTAGTGGTAGTCACACGTCGCACGGCTATCCTTATTCCACTTTGGCATTGCTCTTGTCTTTTTTGACAATCTTGTCCACGTCGTCATATGTTCCTGAGCCCTACATGCATACTGGTACCACTCACCGTAGTCCGCTGATTCCCCTCCATGGACCTGCCCGCCCTCTTGTCTCTGACTTGTAGCAGCGTCCCCTCAGGGGGGGGGGGGGGGGAGACAGCGTTGTCACCGCCGTGTCCGCATTAACGTCACCCCAAATCCGCGAAGGCTAATATTCCCGCCTGTCCGCCATATGGCTCATGTAAAACAACAACACGACGAGGATACTGTGGCCGGCCGCCGGAGCTGACTGGGCCGGCCTGAGTGGCGCCCTGTTTGCGTAGTCCGTGGTCGGTGATCCGGAGTCGCAGGCGCCGGCGACCCTCCGCTGGCCGGGCTGCGGGCGCGCCGCCCTCCCGTCTGACAGAGCACACTCGCTCAGACACCGCGGCGGCCCATGCGCCCGCTATTTGACCCGCAAACAGGGCTGTGTCATGTCAGGGCATGGGTGTGATGCATGTAGTGTGAAGGTCAAGTATCATTTTTCTACACTGTTACCCAAGAACAGGTAGCCAGGAGCTACCCCTCCTGTTCCAGCGACGCAACAAATCGTACGTTAACGCCAGAAAGCATAACATCATGTCGCGTCACTCCCATTTGCGGGGCTGGGATGTAGTTAAGCGCTAGCGTTTTTTGGGGGGCATCAGGGCATCACAAGGCACTTGAAGTGGAGCCTGGTTGGTGGCCTCGTCACGGATTTGGCCGACTTACCGCTGACAGTAAAGCGCAGCTAACGGTTGCGTTCCTGTGATCCGACATCGTGCACTTATAGGCCCGGACGGGCACCAGAGGCACCTGGACACATAATACGGATTTGAAATACCGATCGATTACAGTTCGCGATTGCCCGAATATGACATCAGTTCGTTGTATGCTATCCTGCCGCAACACGTCAAATGCTTCAGCCAGCTTCGGCCGATGTCGGTGTTCAGCTGTCGTGCCTGGGATGAGGGTCGGTCGGCCGCTAACCTCTCTCCGCTCTGCTGGCCACCAGAGGCGGAGTCAGCCACCAGCGACGAGGAGTGCCGGGCGCCGGAGTCGGCGGTCGACGCCGGCAGTGACCAGTCAGAGCCGGCCGACCACAAGCCGGCCGTCGAGCCGGCCGGGCCCGACCCGTCTGGTTCAGCCACATGCAGATCCTGCGCCGCATCTTCCCCTCGCAGAAGACAGGCGTGCTCGAGGAGCGGCTCGAGGCGTGTCACAACGACTTGATCAAGACGATTGAGCACTTCATCGGCACGGGCAGTCGCGTACGACAGCAGCTGCTGCGGCCGCTGCAGGCGTCGTGCGCGGCCGGGCCGCCGCTCCTGCTCAGCGGCCAGCGCTCGGCGTTCGTGCCGCTGTGTCAGGCGCCGCCGCCGCCGCCGGCGCACCAGTCGCGGCTGTCGCCGTTCTCGGTGGAGGCGCTGCTGTCGCGGCCGATGCAGCCGCCGCCGCTGTACCCGCCGTTCGCGCTCCTGCCGCCGCCCTGGCACCTGCGGCCGCCGCCGGCAGAGGTCGCCGAGCGGGAGGACATGTGACTGCCGCTGGAGGGCGCGCACGAGGGCGCGCAGCGGTGCTCCGTGGGGCGGGATCGTGAGGACATGGAGCAGTCGATCGCCGTTCATGAGGTGGTTGCGATCTCCCCAGGACCGCGAGGACGCGGGTCAGTCATCTGACATTCATGGGGACGTGGTGCGGTCTCCCCTGGACCGCGAGGACGCGGGTCAGTCGTCTGCCATCCATGAGGACGTGGCGCGGCCCCCATATGATCACTAGGGCGTGAGTGGGTGGTCCACTGTTCGTGAGTGTATCGAGCAGTCGTGCATTGCTCACGGGGACGTGGGCTGAGAGTTTACCGTTGGTGAAGGGCGCGGTCCCCTGTCGACCCCGAGGACGTGGGCCGACCGTCCGTCAACGGAGAGGACATTTAGCCGCTGTGGCCGACTATGAGGGCATGGCACGTCATTACGGAACATAACGCGGAGAAACCGCCGATGATGTGGATCTGGTGGAGTCGCTCCCCGATCATGAAAACATCAGACTGCTACGCGTCAATGACGAGGACATGCTTCTGCCGCCGACCAAGAAAACCTGACCAGTGACCACCACAGCAGCTGTGGTAGTTACTCGAGTTACTCGAGAGATTGCAAACAGTATTGTGAGGCCATATATGCGTACTGCACCCACCGGGTTCGTCACAAGTCAGAGGTTGGAGGGGTGGGGGTGGAGGGGGAGGGTATCGGGACCTCGAGAGCGTGAGGCCGCCAGTAGTGGCAATCGCGGCTCACAGGGGGACTCCTGGCCATCCACCTGTCAGCCACATCGTCCTCATAACGCTGGCGTCTGAGGACGGCCGGCCAGACTTGATCGAATCACGTGGGCTCCGGTCAAGTCAGGCTCAGAGGGGACACAGATACACACTGCGCTCTGCTCCGGCCGGCTCAGAACTGACGCGGGCTCCGGTCGAGCCAGGCTCAGAAGGGACACAGATCCACACTGCGCCCTGCTCCGGCCGGCTCAGAACTGACTGGCGTTATGTACATGGTGGTCGTGTTGACTAACTGCGACTGCCTGTCCGTCAGCAGCCTATGTCGGCGCACTTGTCGTGCAGCCGAGCGTGCCGATGATGCAGATTTTGCCCCGTTTATGGGTTGTTAAAGGTAGCCAAGTGTTTGCATATCGTCCCACATTGTGGCAGGTTTTGTGGAACTATTCATTGTGTATGTTTCTCGCAGATTATGCAAATATTTCCCCATTGATCACTGTTTACATTGGAGAACAACGCACTTAGTAGGACCGATCTGCGGCCATCAGAGGCGGAAGATGATCGCCATTCGGAAACACATTGTGCTGCATACAGGTCAAATCATTTGCACACAACTCCTCGAGGCAACACGTTCTTGCTGAGGGATTTGCGTGATCGAGACCACTCAAGCCCTTGTGAAGTTCCTACCGTGGCGGCCATCTGTCAGAACAGCTCCGACATCCAACTGGCAGTGGCTTCACGCCGATAGCAGGAGAGCGACCAATGATAAAAGATGCCAAGGGAAAATGGAAACGAACATTAGCCAACCAAAGCAACGTTATAGACCATCGCATCAAAACACAACAGAGGACCCCTTACCCTGAAGTAACCATTGCTGGGATGAAGTTGGCACCCAGATGGATTTGACTTTGTTCAATATATTAATTATGTCCACATTCTCTTGAGATGAGACGAAAACGCATGGAATAGGAACCCACCTTCCTTGAAAGGTAGACGCGTTCCAAGCGCGGTCCTTCTACTTGGGGAGCCATCAGTCAAGTCTTCCGTGACGGATTATGGCAGATCAGCGACATGGCAGGTTGCGAGCGCTACTTCCACCGCACGCCTATCGCCCGCGCAACACACCACTCTTCCAACACTTTGGTTGTAAGAATAACACACCAGCACCAGACTGAGCGTGTATTTCCTCCACAACAAAACAGGACAGGCCCAGCGATAGCTATGCTCGATCACTTTTGACGCTTCATGCGCTTGAAGTCTCCCTCCTGGTTGGCCAGGGACGCCATCAGGTCCTTCAGCTTCCGCTTTCGGTCGTCGTCCCTGAAACACGAGGCTGGGTGTGAGCAGCAGCGCATGTCTGACTTGACCCCGCCCCGGGGAGGAGTCGGCAGTCTGACCCCACCCCCAGGAGTCGGCAGTCTGACCCCACCCCCGGGGAGGAGTCGGCAGTCTGAGTCCACCCCCGGGGAGGAGTCGGCAGTCTGACCCCTCCCCTCCCCAGGGAGAAGTCGGCAGTCTGACCCCTCCCCTCCCTAGGGAGGATCGACCCGGCGGGGCCGCCCACCAGCCAGCCGCTGAGGTTGAGCCAACCAGCGTCGAGAGGTCCACGGTTCGGCAGTTAACCCCGTGCTTATCAGTGGGTCGAATCAGATGCTCCCGTCGCATCTTTTGTAGGGCTTCAAGGGCGTGTAGAGCAATATGTAATGTCAACAACACAAACTAGACGGGCGACCTGTGGAAACAGGTCCAAACACGCAAATACGATACGGATTTGCGTGTTTGCCCCATCCACGGCTAAGAAATCGGGTGTTTACACTATTATCTATGTTAAATCCATGTTACACTATGGTTTCATGGTGTGATATACTATGTTTTCACGCTATGGTTTCACACTATGTTTTCTACTGTTTTCACCAGCCATACGCTATGTTTTCACCAGCCCCTAATCGGTGTATCACGACTGATCTCGTCCGCAGACGACCCGACGGCAGCCAACCGCAGCTCCCTCCCGCGCCCCCGTCGGCGCCGCGGCCCTACTCACTTGGTCTTGATCTCGGTCAGCTTCTGGCGCGCCACGAAGGCGTTGTCGCGGCGCACCTCGCGCACTGTCGAGCGCATCTGTCGCTTGTACTTGTGCACCAGCTTGTCGTGCTCTCGCTTCTCGTGCGAGCCCGGCCGCCGCCGCCGGCCGTCAAAGCTGCCGGACGCGGCTCGGGTCAAGCAAGCGGCATCGACACGTTATAGATCCGGGATATGACACGGGCCAGCTTATATGTCACATGCCCGTGGAGACTGAAAACGCCGGTGGATATAGCACACGTCAGGGTACACCACGGCCCGCCGCATACAGCACTAGTACGACGACAGAACGCTTTTTGGAGGATAGGTACCGAACTCAAGACTATCATCCAAGTAACGGGCCACAAACAGACCAGCACATATTCCGAATTGGCAAACCGCTCCAGGAAGTTAACCTATTAACCAAAGCCATCACGTTGCTGCGACACATGATGCGACCAATGCACAGTTTCGGTAGCCACTTACTTCTCTTCTATAGCAGGCTCGTACAAACGGAGGGGTTTAGGTCGTTTTTTATTCTTTTCCAGGGTGGTTTTCTCAGAGCTAATCCCTTCTAGTGTCTTCAGACACGCCGTCCACTTGTTGCGCAAAACGTCGGGGTATCTGGGAAAAGGAACGATATGTTGATCAAAACATACGTCGAGCACGGCGATCGCAAAATCATCATCCACGTAGAAAAATGGACGTCAGCACCTTTCTCAATCACGCCCTGCTAGCGCAAGTGGTAACTAAACGAAAATCAGAGCTAGCTTCGCCATATTATGAAGGATGACAAAAGAGCATGATCACCGTAACGTGTTCGTAAAACATACATGCTTGCAATGCCAAAATATAACCATCTATATAGCCATCTAGCCATCTATAGCCATACGCAATCTTAAGATACCCTGATCTATACCGTACCGAAACACCGAGCTTTACATCTACCATTCCGTTGCTAAAGTAACTATGCCGCGCTCGCGCCAAGCTGTCCTCCCTCACCGACCCACGATCACTACCGTAGGTGGAGGTCAAGTGGTCAGCACAAGTGTTCACCACGCGTCCCGGGTGACCCCCGGACCGTGACCATCCGCAGCCAGCTGGCGCAGCCCACCTCCTGACGTCCACGGCGGCCATCATAAGCCGGAGCGGGCCGAAGATCTCGGAGGCGGCCGGCAGCTGGCCGTGCCGCTCGGCCAGCTGGCGCACCAGCGAGGCGGCCACGTGCAGGCAGGAGGCGCGCGCTGCGTCCGTCAGCGGCGCCTCTGACTCGACGGCTGACAGTGAGAGCAGCGGCTCACACGGCGCGCCGGCGCAGCTGCCGGAGAGCGGGGCAGGTCAGCGGGGGAGGGGCAGCGGCTCACACGGCGCGCCGGCGCAACTGCCGGGGAGCGGGGCAGGTCAGCGGAGAAGGGGCAGAGGACCACAGAGATCACCGGCGCAGCTGCAGGGAGAATGGGGATTAGCAGAGAGAGATACACAGAGGCTGCCGGCACAGCCGAGGTGAGGGAGGGGTGGTAGGTCAGCAGATGGGAGAGGGTAAGTCAGCAATAGGGAAAGGGCAAGTCAGCACATGGGGAGTGCAGGTCAGCAGATGGGAGAGTGCAGGTCAGCAGAGGAAAGTGGTCACCAGCACAGTACTGATGACACACAGAAAGGGCGAGAGAAGGGTAATCGAACACTGGTGACAGCAGCAGGACCTCACGACAAAACAATGGCACATCGACTGATTTGTCCATTGCATTCACATTCAAGCAGGAGCGGCGACACCGTTAGCCGTCCCACGTCACATTATGCACACCTATCTGCTCCCCTTGTCCTACACGCCCAGTCGTCCCATGCCTGATGGGCTCCTGGCTGGGAGCCAGAGCCCGGCAGCCGGCAGCGGCGAGCCGTTGCCCACCTGGTGGTTAGCTGCAGCAGGCTGGAGTGGGGTCCGCGCGGCAGCTGGGGCAGCAGCACGTGGCCGGCCAGCGGCGCCTGGCGCTCGCTGGGCACAGCCGTGAACAGCACGCTCTGCAGGAAGCCGATCACCTCCGGCACGTAACGGCTGGCCAGGCTTGTGAACTGCGGCGGGCGCGAGGTGTCTCGGTCAGACGCGCCACGTCACGGCCGGGAGGGCGGCGCGCCGCCCGTCGCTCGCGCAGAAACGCCAGCCACCCGCCCGCGGTCAGCCACGTGATCAAACAGGTTAAACGAGGGATGTCCCACCACGCTATTTGGGTGCCGATGTCGAGAAGAACTGTCAGATGAGATCTTATCAAAGAGAGCGCAACGTTTCTGGCCCCACATAAGCTCGTCTTTATACCGGTTAGACAGCAACGACAGCGGGCGTAGTAGAAGTCATTTAGGAGACGAAATGTTCCCCAGCAGGGTTTTTTCAGTCCCATAACAAAAGCGAGACATCGCCGAGCGCCCCCCCCCCCCCCGTCCCCCAGCGTTCCAAAATTCATCCAGTGGGGTGTTAAGGATGTAAATATATATTCATGCCACCAGAACCCTGCCTCTCCAGCGGTCCCTTCTATTGGCGCTATCTGTTGGCGCTAATCTATTGCCTTTTGACCCCGACCTGGACATCTAACCTACCCAGCCCATTTGTCAAGCCTGAAGCATATAAATACTGGTTTGACAGCCGCGCGGTTCGATGCTGATTGGCCAATTTTGAGCAAGGGGAGGACCACAGCCAGTGAGCCCAAGGCCGGGGTGTTATAGCATGAAAAGATATCGACATCCATGCCACCCCAGTGGCCGAATATTGGAACACTGGACCCCCCCCCCCCCCGCACTGACCTCATTCAGAAGCGAGACGACGAAGAGTCCGGCGGCCAGCTCGCGGCGCGAGGTGACGCGGCACTCCGCCAGCATCTGGCACAGCATCAACATGGCTGGCATGGTGACCGGGTGGCGGCGGTCAGAGCTGGGGAACAGCTGGCCACACACCCGCAGCGGCAGCAGCGTCTCTAGGCCCGGGAAGGAGCGTCGCCGGCGCCGGCCGTACGCCGCCTGCCGCCGCCGCAGCCACGCCACCCAGCTCAGGTACGCCGCGTCGCCCAGCCGTTGCGTCAGGTCGTACAGCAGCGGAACGAGTGCGTCCACCGCGCGCAGCGCCACCTGTCCGCCGCCCGGCGAACCGGTGTCTGCCGCGGCGCCCGAGCGGCGGCAGCAGTCGCCGATGTAGCGCAGGAGCATCTCGTACAGGGAGATGAGCAGCGCCTTGTTGCCCGGCGACAGCTGCGGATCCAGCGACATCACAAGCTCGGTCAGGTGACGCGTCTGCTCGAGCGGCAGCAGGGCCCGGAGGGTGGCGCTGAGCTTCTTGTAGGTCGGAAGCTTGGCTTTAGGGGGCGTGACTGAAAACGATCAAAGGTAGGGTCAGGATCCTGTAAACGGAACGGTGGTTTCACTGCCTCCCAATACGATACATCACATATGCACGACAAGCTAAAACTGAATACAGTGAGACACGACCTGAACAATATGACACGAACTCGCAACTTCAACGCCATGTACTGGTCTGCGAGTTACGAGCAATGCGTTTTTCCGTTATCGAAAGCGGCAACCAGTTAGAACAAAACTTGCTTGTGAATACCGATGAGATGAGATTTAGGTCAATAAGATAAGATCTAATGGCTATCTGCACCTGATGATTCAAGACGCCGCGAAGGTACTCCGTGAGAGGCCGGCGTTTAATTTTCCATTGGCAATTTCGTACCTGAGCGCAGGTATGATGTCCTTGCCGACATGACATATCCTGCATGACGGGACACATGGCCACACAATAAGACGTTCCATTTTCAAGCATAAAAATTCATCCTCGCGCGTCTGTTGCGGCCGTGCCGCTGCAGCCAGAGACTAACCTGTCTCAGGAGGAGTCTGCTCAGCCTCCTCCTCAGCGTCACGCTGCCGCTGCAGCCAGAGACTAACCTGTCTCAGGAGGAGTCTGCTCAGCCTCCTCCTCAGCGTCACGCTGCCGCTGCAGCCAGAGACTAACCTGTCTCAGGAGGTGTCTGCTCGACCCCTTCCTCAGCGTCACGCTACCGCTGCAGCCAGAGACTAACCTGTCTCAGGAGGTGTCTGCTCGACCCCTTCCTCAGCGTCACGCTGCCGCTGCAGCCGGAGACTAACCTGTCTCAGGAGGTGTCTGCCCGGCCTCCTCCTCAGCGTCACGCTGCCGCTGCAGCTGGAGACTAACCTGTCTCAGGTGTCTGCCCGGCCTCCTCCTCGGCGTCATACTGCCGCTGCAGCTGGAGACTAACCTGTCTCAGGAGGTGTCTGCCCGGCCTCCTCCTCGACGTCACGCTGCCGCTGCAGCTGGAGACTAACCTGTCTCAGGAGGTGTCTGCCCGGCCTCCTCCTCAGCGTCACGCTGCCGCTGCAGCTGGAGACTAACCTGTCTCAGGAGGAGTCTGCTCAGCCTCCTCCTCAGCGTCACGCTGCCGCTGCAGCCAGAGACTAACCTGTCTCAGGTGTCTGTTCGGTCAACTCCTCAGCGTCACGCTGCCGCTGCAGCCAGAGACTAACCTATCTCAGGTGTTTGCTCAGCCTCCTCCTCAGCGTCACGCTGCCGCTGCAGCTGGAGACTAACCTGTCTCAGGAGGTGCCTGCCCGGCCTCCTCCTCGGCGTCATACTGCCGCTGCAGCCGGAGACTAACCTGTCTCAGGAGGTGCCTGCCCGGCCTCCTCCTCCGCGTCGCGCTGCCGCTGCAGCCGGAGACTAACCTGTCTCAGGAGGTGCCTGTTCGGTCCTCTCCTCTCTGCGGCTGCAGCCGGAGACTAACCTGTCTCAGGAGGTGCCTGTTCGGTCCTCTCCTCGCTGCGGCTGCAGCCAGAGACTAACCTGTCTCAAGAAGCGTTTGCTCGGCCTCCTCCTCCGGGTCGCGCTGCCGCTGCAGCCGGAGACTAACCTGTCTCAGGAGGTGCCTGTTCGGTCCTCTCCTCGCTGCGGCTGCAGCCGGAGACTAACCTGCCTCAGGAAGCGTTTGCTCGGCCTCCTCCTCCGCGTCGCGCTGCCGCTGTAGCCGGCTCTGGCGCTTCTTGGCCTGGCGGCCCGTCAGCGGCACGTCCGGCAACTCTGACGTCACCACCAGCTGATCGCCGATCAGCTCAAGACGCTGCTGCGGCTTGGCGTCCAGCAGGAACCTGCGGCGACAGGCGGACGGCGCAGGTCACAGCAAGCTTGCGGCAGACAGGGCCGCGCGGAGGGTGGCTACTGAGGACGGATGGCTACGGCACAGATGGGGGATGGTATACAGGAACGAGCGCATGATACTGACCTCTCATCCCAGGGAAGCCCGTCTAGCATTCTGAGACAGGTCGTGACAGCCCACAAGAAACCCGTGCAACCGCATGCCAGGTATGGGACGAAACAAATGGTTTAGGAGCATGAAACATTATCTTCTTACTGACGCGAGCATCGTGCCCGGCTTTCTCACATCGCTCACAGGGGCCACTCTGTCCAGCCGTTCTCTCCCCGCCCCCTGGCTATCCCGTGCCCCCTCCCCCCAGCGGCGGTAGACCCTCTCGAAACAAGCGCCCCGCCGGTGCCCCGCGCCCGCCAGCTCTCACCCGTCGTCCAGGTCATCGGCGCTGCGGTGGACGGCCGGCCGCGCCCCGCCCGCCTCCTCCGGGTCAGCGCGCATGCGCAGCTGGCGCGCCTCCTCCAGCAAGCGGAGCCGTGTCGCCTCCTCCCGCTTCACCTCCTCGTCCGTTTTGGTCCGCTCCGACGCCTGCCAGGGCGAAGGCGAGTCACAGAGCCGCGCACAGCACGCAGTAGGATGGGGCGGCGAAACGGTGCACAGAGCGACCGTTTGATCCGTAAATAGGCAACATGACTCACTCACGATCTTGCTTTGTGCTTGGAGCAAACACACAGACCGACGGTCAAGCAAGGTCCTCGACACGTTACAGTTGTTGCGTTACAGTCAGGTTACGGTCGCGTTGCAGCTGAGCACCGGTCGCTGACCACCGAGCTGCGACAGCCGGCGCTGACGTCACTGACGTACCCCGACGCGCGGCTCGAAGGCCAGCTGGCGCACGAGCATGTCGTACTCGTCGGAGGGGTCGGGCGCGGCGGCGGCGGCTGCCGCTGCCGCTGCCGCTGCCGGTGCCGGTGCCGGTGCCGGTGCCGGCTCGGGGCTCGGCTCTCGCGTCCGCTCTTTCGCCCGGGTCGGGCCTGTCGGCAGGCGCCACGACGGCTCAGGTCGCGCGCCGACACGGCAACACCTCGCACGGCCCACGCATGGCCGCAAGCTGACTGAATGGATAGTATGTTTAGGCGGTGTTGTACCGGAGACTCACCAGACGCCCGTTTAATTAATCTAGTTGGGGTTGTTGATAAAAATGCAGTACTACCGGTGCCATGTTGGCCAACATTACATACAATCACGTCGAGGTGTGCTGCGGCTTGCCAGATGCACTTCAAACACCTCCAATAAAACCGCGGCCGACTGTTTGCAAGAACTGCCTGACCATGGCACACACCCAGCCGCTGGGAGTCTTGCCAGCCTCCATACCGACCGATCTACTACCCGTCATCAGGAGGACCCCTCTACTCACGCATGAGGTCGGCGTCCTTGAAGATCTGCATGACCTGCTTGTAGTCGTCGTCCAGTTTGTCGGTCATCTCGAGCGTCTCCTCGCGGGCCTTTCGCGCGTCGTATTTGCGCTTCTTGCTGTCGGCGATCATCTGATCGATCCACTCCTTGCGGCTCTGGGCGGAGTTGGGGCCGCCCGAGGCCAGCAGTCCGCCGCCGAAGTGGGCCGACTTGACGAACTCGGCTGCGGGGCGGGAGCCGTTAGGGCGAGCGGCGCCACGTCACGTACCGCACGATATCAACGACCGCTGGCGGGAGGCGATCCCGCAAAACCGGCACCAATGAAGGCCCAAACCGAGCATTACATCGCCAGCAGCCAGCAGAGCTGCGGCAGCGGCACCCCTGTCTGCCTGCGGCACGCGAGTTCGCGCTACGAGCTGGGTAACGCCGAGGGGCTGACCGGGGCGTCCCAAGTCGCCGCCGAATCGGACGGACCCGACGCCGCGGTGGCCTACCTCCGAGTGCGTCGTCGCCCTCGTCGTCGCTGCGCGGGTCCTCGTATTTCTCGATCTCGCTCAGCGTCTGGCCCATGTGCGTCAGCTCGGTGGTCTCCTCCAGGTTGAAGAGGGTCTGCCGGCGGCCGACCATCTGTTATCATCACTGCCTCAGAGGACCTTGTGGTACACCGCAGCCAGGAAGCATTGCTGCTTTAGGGACGTGAGTGGGATACGACTCGGGCTTTCCACAGAACCGCTTCAGCCATCCAAAGAGCGCTGTCCTGATAAACATGAGCTACTTCGTCACGTAACGTTGAAAGGTCTGACAGAACCTAATAATGGCTTTGTTCCAGTCAGGCCAGACAAAATGCACGGATATACTCGCATTAATTTTAGGTGAGATCCCCGCGCAGATTAAAAGGCGACGACCTTTCACTGCAAATGTGACCATGCCCGGTTGTAGAGCGACATCTGATCTGGGACAGACAGGAGGAGATGTTGGACTGAAAGCGATGCCCCTAGTGACCGCTGCCAGTCGAGGGCTCGGCTTCCCTGTCAGGTGCATCTAAAGTGCGTTAGACCGTGCGATCGTCGTGCGGCGCGACGATAGCTGTTCAGCACCACTTGTGAACAAGGTCGTCCACAACATTCATGTTCTGCCTAGCATATGACCCTTAAAGCACCACTCTCACTGCCTGCTCACCATTAGATACAGATGGGCGCTAACTTGAGGAGACCCCGACCCACCTGCTTGTTTTGCTTCTTGCGTTCGGCGGCGAACCTGGCTGCCAGGCGGTCCTCCACCGACATACCCTTGGTCTTCTCACCAATGCGACGATCCAAAAATTCATTGGATTTGGTCCTGGTTTTCAACTCTCGCAGCAACGTCAATTTCCTCTGTGAGAAGCATGTATTTAGCGGCATGAAATACAAACATGTCATATGGCTGGACCTTATGATTGTTCAGTGTGTGATTACCCCAATTCATGTCACCAACTAGCTGACGATAACCCACAAAATGCTGCCAAAATAGATATCCATACAAAAACACGAGAAAACTTTAAGAGGGCAATCTGTCAGGAAAATTTCTGGAAAGAAGCATGAAACACACGCACAAACCAAGACCCCGCTAAAAGAAGAACCTCCCGAGTGACATCTTTTTTGATGACTGATATTGAGATAAAATATATATGTACTGATTGTAAGTTCCATAATCACCCACCTTTTTCTGAGCTTTGGCCTTGGATATCCCTGGTTTTCCTTTCTCACCAGGAAGATGTTGACCCAGGACAGTATGCTTTTGTTTGTTGAAATGGATTTCAAATGGATTAATTGCCCTTTCCTTGCTCTTGATGCTAGCTACTTTTTCTGCATGGCCCACTCCCTTCTTGCCTGGTTTCTTGGTTTTTGCCATTGCTGATGCTGGGAAAGTGATGGGTTTCGTCTGTCTATGTGAATTCATAGAATGGATGGGTCAAAACAGAATGCGCAAGACAGACTGAAATTAACCCCTGCCTTAGGGGATGATAAAATCAAGTTCCAGGCAAGGGCTGCCAAGTTACTCACACCAATAACTCTGCTTTACTTGCATGTGCAGTTTTCAATGAAATAAATGGATTCTTACCAAGGTTTATGTATTGCTTTGGCCAGGCAATATGACAAATTGGTCATTAATGCAAGCAAGACTACCTGACCAAATGTAATCAGAAATACCAGAATCTGAAAAACATTCAATGATAAAGAGCCACTAGCCAGTTAGCAAATGTAACAGGTTGGACAAAATTGTATTGTGGCAAAGTGGTGCAAACTTGTTTTCGCTAAATTTCAAATGAAAAGGCATCATTGTTTAAGGTTGCCACTTAATGGTTAAAGCTACTTGGTTAAACCCACATGATGCAGATGCCTCCATATTGGAACAGCCACAGAAGTTTTGGGCATAATAAAACTCTCACAAGCTCTATGGCTTCCATATGTCATGTCAATAATGCAAGATATTGCTGAGGTTTACTGCTACTAAAGCTATCTGGATTAAAAATATATTGCTGGTCCTGATGGTGCTTTGCAAGCTATCTTAATGAAGGCATGGTGAACAATTATGATTTACTGAAAAAGAAGCTGCATGAACCTGCATTTGGAGCAGAGAACAGAAGTACATGCATTGACACACCTGCATACCAGACATGCACACACACATAACCATACACTGCCAAACACAATGCAGTGGCATTCACATGATAGCAACAAAGTAAACATCTTATGAAACATCACTGTCACATGAATTGGAATCAAGAACAAATAGACATGACCAGTGCAGGGGACCAGGACAATATTTTAAGGCCAGAGACAGGAACAAACCATCAAGAAGTGTGACAGGGACCAATCCATGTAGGAAGATACCATTACAAACCATTTTAAAAACATCCTCTTCTAAAGGCGAAATGAAGAAATGCTCAGAATTATAATGATGACTGGAGTTTTAGGGCACATCAACAATGTTTGGAATGAATACATGGCCATCCACAAGTTCAGAATGGAGCACATGGTAGTTAGGAGCCTTTATATATGTTATGAATGGTTATCACAGCCATAAGCTCTAGTCCTGCCTATTGACACTGGAATAAAAGATTCAATAATTTTGATGCATTATTTCATGTCACTTAAGGTATGTCTTAGTGACGTTTACTATCTGAGCCCGAGGACGTCACTCCATGGCTAATGACTACAACCTATCGATACCTACTTACCACCAACGAACAAATTATATTCACCTCAAAGAGCTGCTTCCCAGCTATTCAATCTGACCGATCTTCAGATTAATCGGTGTTTCTCGGATGAAGTACCAATCACGAGCATCTCCCGCACGTGCCTGGTCTCTCCCAGTCCAACGCACCGCTCCGCCACGCTTCCTTTCTGCGCACACGCGTACACTGACGCGGGTTCCTGCGTCTATCCTGCGCCGTGTTTGAACTTTCTACAGGAGAGAATATGGGCTCCTATTTGTTGGCCCTTCCAAAAATATGGGCACATGGCCCTACCATGTGCCCTTCCAAAAACAGTGAGGGTACTAAACAACGGACGTATGACTGTATTCCAACCTAAAAATTCCAAGATCCCATCACAGAATCCAATTAACATGGAATTTGTTGGAATTATGGATCTACCCTTTTGATGCAGGCACATATCTGCTAAACAGCATGAGCCAAAAAGGTTTTTGGTGTGCCGAAGGAATATTTCCCAAAGATATGAAGGATCTCGTAGCTGTGTTCCAAAACGCCGCTTGCACGATTCAGCTCAATATTGCAGTTGCCGTAAAGTCGGGTGCAGGTGCATACGTGGGTGACTCAGGACGGCGTCGAGATCCCGTGATCCACTACTCAAAACTGGCTGACGGGATGCACTAAGACGAGTAAAATAATTAAGTGCGGACGTGGAAAATGATGATGTATTCTTGTAACGGTTGGAGTGACAGGGACGCTCGTGGGACGAGAGGGAATGGCTCAACCATGAAATAGGCGTTTTCACCTAGGCCAAGAACATGACAAGCGTTCAGGTAATGCTGCCAGCCCTGATGTTTCTTCTAAATCGTGTTAAGATCTGGAACTCAAGCAAATAAATTAATATTTAACATTTAGTAAAATGTGTGGTAAATCAATATTTAGCAATTCACAAAATGTGTGCAACTATTTCACCCTGGGATGCCTGGATGTGTGTCTCATTATTAATTGATAAGTGTGAGCAGCCGGTGTAAACTCAACAGGGTAAAATAAAAGGTGTGAAATTTGTGTGATAGTCAAGATTATTTATTTGTGTACTTCTGTTTACCTAATTGGGTCCTCATTTTAAATAATGAGGGCAAATTTCCTCACATTTCTTGAGCAGACAGACAGTTTCTAACATTATACAAATTTTATTATTTGATTGATGCTGGTGACCTTTCATCACTGGTTTTAAACAGCACTCATTGAGTAAGTATGCATGGCTTCAGGATTATCTACGTGAGCTCCGTGCAGCTCGGAAAGAGTTTGCAGCAGGCAGCAAACCTGGCACTGCGGCCACTACCACTGAGCAGCACGTTGGTGGCTCTCCAGCCATCAACCGCTCTGCCGCCTCGCCGTGGCTCAAGTCGCCAGCCGTCTCCAAGCCACTCCCGTCCGCGCCAGTGCGCGACGGTGGTGGAGGTGAGCCCGCGTCGGTTCGTCAGGGTGCTGGCCGGGGACGACCGTCCGTCGCACCAGCGAACTCCCTGGCGGTCCGTGGCACCGGCCGAGCAGCCGTTGCTCCGGCACCGGGGAGACCGTCACCAGGAGCCGCCGGAGCCCGGGGCGGCGAGGGCCGCTCACCCGCCCGCCCAGTGAAGCCGTCGGCGGCCGCCGGCGGGAGGACGCCGCCCGAGGACGCCGACAGCGACACTGACATCAGCCACCTGATCGACCAGCTGAGCCTGAAGTCGCCGGCCAAGGCGGCGGCGCCGCGGCGCGGCAGCAAGATGGAAATGCTGCGCCGCAAGTTCTCCACCTCCAGCCCCACCAAGTCGTGGGCTGACCTAGGCAGCAGCGGCGGCTCACTGAGCCGACCGCGCGCCCGCTCCTCGGTCAGCATCCGTGACGAGAAGATCATCCTGAGCGGCATCTCGGGCGACGAGGCGGACGCCACCGACTCGGCCCCAGAAGCGCTCTCGTCCGGCGACTCGTCCTCCTCTTCCTCCTCCTCCTCAAGCAGTGTGCCGACCGAGCGTGCCGCCGCTCGCCGGGCGTCCTCCTCCAGCTCCATCCTCACGGAGCCGGCAGCGGCAGCGGCGGCGGACGCCAGCGGGGCGGCCTCGGTGTCCAGTTCCATCCGGACCGAGTCGGCGTCGGTGGGCCGGCGCCGCACGCCTGTCCAGCGCCGACGTGCCCGAGGAGCTCAGCCGCACCATCACCTCGGTGCCCACCGGGCCCTCGGCCGGCACCGACGACTCAGATTCCAAGTCGGACTCGGACTCGGACTCGGAGTCAGCGTCGGAGCCGGACCTGCACTCGCACCCGAGGCCGCAGGCGCAGCCGCAGCGGGAGTGCGAGCGGGAGCGGGGGAGGGAGCGCGAGCAGGAGACCGGCACAGAGTCTGAGGACTCGACGCTTCAAGAGGAGGCCTCGGATCGCTCAGCTCGTCGCGAGCTGAGTCCGCTGTCCAGGAAGCCTGCTGGTGCCTCCGGTGAAAAGTCCGAGCCGAGTGTCCCAACGACGCAAAGCAAGCACGTTCGGAGCGCAAAGCGCGCTTCGGGCCGTCACGGCGCTCGTGCTAAGAGAGATCGTCCCTCGAGCAGTGACCATCGGCCCGCAAGTGCTGGAAAACAACCGCACAAAGAAGCCAGGGCCAAACCAGCGTCAACAAAGCGCCAGCACGCCGAGCGGACTTCAAGGAACCGCGGGGACCCGTCCGCCGAGCGCGGTTCGCACGGTGGCGACAGACGCAAGCCGAGCCGGGAGGCTCGAGTGAGGCCGGCCTCCGACCACGAGCGGCGCCGGCGGCGACGCCAGTCCAGCTGGCCGGACGCGCAGGACCGCACCGACGCGTCCGAGTCGCTGGTGGTGAGCTACCAGCGGCGCGTGGCCTACTCGACGTCCAGGGACTGTCGCCGCTGCCGCCGCCAGGCCTGGCACGCGCCGGCGCCCGTCACCGTGGTGGTGCCGCAGCACGGCGGCCGGGCCGCTCCCACCGGCACCGGTCAGTGCGCGCGGTGGACAGCAGTGCTGGCCTGCTGCTGGGTCAACTGTGAACGGGAACGGAACCGAGGGCCTTGGTTGTGAATGGGTGCATTCCGGGGGTGATGTTAGACGGGCAGCGAAAGGTCGTTCTTAGCCATGTCTACTGGAGTAGAATCATTTGCTAACCAAACCCTCTCAGTTCGATCAAAACTACTTTGCTTCCCCGGGTACGCTAGCGATTGGATGCGGAAGAAGCATAACACGGACGCATATATCCTTGTTAACTCTTCCCGTTGTCATCGAAAGAGCCATCGTTCATCGCGAAACGTCATTCGGTTGCGCGCCGAGTACCAGCTGGCGGTCTCCCGCGCTTGTTCTTGTCAGCCGGACCGTGTCTGTTCCCAGTGTTCGTAGACGACGACGGCGACGACGAGCCTGTCATCACGGCGATGCTGGTGCAGCAGATCGCTCTCACCCGGCACTTCCTGGCGACGCAGCAACGACTGCGCGACGCACACAGTCGCCTGTTGCGGCAGACCCAGCGCCAGCTCTGCACCGGTCGGCACGATCTCAAGGTGGGGACGCCGCGTTCGTTTGCCTGCCCGGGCGGGCTGCAGACGGCAGCGCCATCTGTACGCGCACCGGACGGTCTCAAGCTGGGAACGGCGCCAGTACACACATGACGGGTGACGATATAGGTGAAACAAAGTCTGTCCCTCAGTTCTGCTAGCGTCTTACGAAACGAGCTGACAGCGGTCTGAACTGATTCCTTTTACCGCGAACATCACACAGGTGGATCTATCATGCGATGCCTTTGTTCGCGGACCGGCGCACGCCCGCAGAGATAGATCCCAGACATAGATCGGATCCATCGCGGCGCGTATGGGTTCATATGCCGGGTTACCTGCTGTATCTTGAGCTCCAGCTGGAGGCCTCGTCCTGGCTCCCCGTCGCGTTTTGCGCGCTTCCTGCTTGATCAGCCTCCAGAGGCCGGTGATAGGACGAGGCGGGATGCGGGGTGCAGGGCGCATTTATTGCACGTACCTCAACAGGCACTCGCCCCTCCTCCAGAAGCTGCCCGTTTTGCCGGTATGCTGGGTGCTGGTGGGGCCGGGCCGGAAGACCAGGTCATGGGACAGGGACGCCCCCGCGAATGTTTCTCCCGGTGACCCACGTCCCTCCTTGGTCTTGCTTGGTAGGGTGTGTGGTGGAGATCATCCCCTTGGGCTTATGGCGAGCCGCGCGAGACGTTTTCGCCGGAACCTTTGATTCGGACAGAAATTTGACATGAGATGGAGCGCTCCCATCAGCCAAGACATATGGCAGGCATTGGAAGGGATCTAGCTCCTATTTCAGTGGGATTCGTCATCCATTAATGCCTCTGACTTGGTGCTGGCCTTCGTCGACCAACGACCAAGCTGACGAAGCCGTCTCGCCGTTTTCTGAATCTGTTGCCTGGGGGTGCCCTTGATTCTTTTCCGGTATCTGGCATTAGCCATTGTCTTATAAATGTCCCGGTCATGATGTACTTCAGATCCGCTATTTTCAGCGGTTTTCTTCGCACTTTTCCCCGTAACTGCACGCTGGATGATGCCAGGCGTCTGCAGTCTGGCCACAATGTTGCAGACAACAGACCTGGATGTCGCAAGACGCGTAGAATTCCGTCTTATCGCAGCCTTGCTGGTGCTGCTTTATGGTTACGAGATGGAGTGACGGAAGCTCTGTGAGGCGCAGCCCGTGCAACCCTTGGCTACGCCACTGTTTCAAACACGGTCGTGATATCCGTTTTTGTCGAAAAGTACTTGAAGTATGATAATGCGGAACGAAAGCATCCAGCCCTGTTGCGTCATGGCGCAGTCACGGCGTCACATCCAGCCAGTCACAGACCGACGGCGGCGCCTGGCAGCCGGGCCGTGCCATTGTTGGTGTGGTTGTCTGGATCCGGGTCATGTCACAGTATCGGGATATCAAGGCGCCTGTCGCCGAGCTGCATTGGAGCGTGGGAACTGGACCGTGATGGGCCTCAACTCGATCGTGATTGGCAATATATCGTGGCGCACTACGAACTTTGTCAGTTCAAAGCCCTTGCCAATGTGAGACACTCTCCCCAGCTGCGGGGGCGCTGGCGAGTGGGTGAGGTTGTGATGCGTTGCCGCTGATTGGGTGTTCCAGGAGCGGCGGCACCCCCGGCGGCTCACCCCGGACGCGGATCAGAGACGCCGCGGCCCGCGAGCCTCGGCTCACACGGAGCTCGCTCGCCCAGCGGCCCGGCCGACGGAGGGCAAATTCACGCGAGAAGAGCCCCTGTGAACGGCGGGGGTGAGGATGGCTGTCCAGTTTGAGGCACTGGTGTACTGCATGTCGCGATTGCAGCCGGTACAGTGTGACTCGGGGTGTTCGCTACACACCACTCTGTAGCAGTGAACAACTTTGAACATGGTGTATTCTAGTCACGTATGTGTCCAAAGGTATAAACCAATACGTTTAAGTCCACGCCGGTTGTGCCCAGCATCCATCAAAAATAGAGCCGTTTATGTTGAAACATCTGCCTCGACGTCGTTCGGGATCAGACCACGCCTTAACAAAAATAAGTTTTTCAAACAAAACTGAAATATATGCATCCAAATCTCAATTGATCAGGTGTTCTGGAAACTTGTGCATCTGCGGTTTTACCACGCCTCACGGCAGTAGAGTTCGGGGAGCAGCTGTCTACATTCGGTGGCAGCGCCGGGGCCACGCGCCGATGGTAAGGCCGACGCGCCGATGTCGTCAGCGCCGGAAAAACTGCAAACAGGTGCGCTTCGCCAGCGCTGTATCGTTGGAGTTGCAAGACAGCACGGCGAGCCTGCGCGTCTGTGTGGCGCTGGGCTGGTGTGTTGTGCTGGCGCGCTGGCAGCTGTGGCAGTATAGAAGCCGTGCCGCAATGCGATCTTTTGGGGACACTCCGTCTGTTAAGGTCACTAAACGCTCAGAATGTCCTGCAACTCCGCCTGCGCAGGTTAGAAGCGTCCCGATACACAAAGAGTCATATGCTACGTTAAAACGCGCCCGTCATCATGTCAGCGTTTACTTGTCTGCGCTGCGCCCGTCTGTCCTGCTGCAGCGCCCGCAACCCCGTTCTGTATGCTTGCCGGTTCTCATGCTGCCGGAGGCCGCCTCAGAACCAAGAACGCGACTCGTTCTACTGAAGCAAAAATGCCGACATCAGATACCCGCGCGAATATATAAACATACATCACAGATTTACTCGCCAGCACATGCGCATATCAACTCACAAAGGTCAAGGATACTGCATCGCAGCGAATAATTCACCTGCCAGCGAAACTAAAGGTCATCCCAGGCTACAGCCGCCATCGTCTCGGACGATCGAACAACGCGCTAAAAGGCATTGAAAGGTGACTGCATACGAGTCGAGCGCTCCTGGGCTGCTGAGCAGAGCAAGGCTCACGAGCTCCCAAACAGCCAGCGAGGACAGTTCTACACCACGCCATCAGATAACGGGCACCGACAGCGACCGGAGCCGTGAGCCGACGGGCGGCGCCAGGCCGCCTGCGTCCACGTTTGATTATCTGCCCGCCGACGCAGCCGCGCGGTCGCTCGTGGCTGTCGGACGGCGCGCGTCGCCGAGCGCCAGCGGTCACAAACTCGTCTTCCCGAGCAGACGCACTCGTCTAAAGCCTCAAGTAGGGGCTGTCGTGGTGGCGTCCCTTTGGAGGGAACGTCCGGACAGCCAGCTGCGGTGTGAGCCGCACGGTAACCACAACGTCCACATCACACCCCTATCACGCAGCGACGTCAAATACATCTCCTCTCCTCACCTCGGAAACGCGCTTTGGCAACATCAATGACGGCGTGCACGACACGTGGAATGACCACTAGGGCTGTTGGCTCCTGTCGATGGTGTCACCGCTCACACGTCGTCCCTGGCGGAGACTGTTGCGACGGCCGTCAGCAGATGAACGGCGTTCGGGGGGGTCACCGCCCGAGGCGCTGTGTAGACAGTGACACCAAAGACGGGGTCAACGGTCCCAACAGTGGATCGGCGACGTAACTTGAAGACGCGACTGGAACAGGTAGAGCTGACGACAGATTTTTTCACCTGCGTGTCCACTCCGGGTTCGTTACCTTTGCCATTTGCCGGTTGTGATCGGGCATGCGGCCAGCGCGCAGTTCGAATGAATTTCAGACAAAAGGCTGAACCACGTGTATAGTTCCCACCAGCTACGCACGTGAAGGCGCAACTCAGGAAGCTAGAGGGGTCCCGGCCCCTGCAGAGGACTTGACGCTGTGCTTTACTTGCATGATTTAATGAACGTCAGAACCAAGTTCTAACATTACTGCCCCCCACCTACGGACCTCACCCTCCCCAGGATCCGATGACGGCTCTGCTTCTATAAGCAGGTACAGCCTTGACATGGGCCTGTGCCCAGCGCGCGGTTCGGATGTGGTATCGCTGAGTCGTGACAGCAGCTGGCGTCAGACGCCACGGAGGAAACTAAACTACTTAGTAGGGACACCCTCGGAGCGGTACTTCGCGGATGGGCGGATTTGCCAGGCCCTTATTGTCGTGAAGCCTATCAAAGTATTCAGTGTGAGCGTTACTTCTTACCGGAGCAGAAGCGAGACAGTGCGTTATCAGTGGGTGTCACGGTGCATTAGCGACGTAATGCAATCAGCAGCGCGCATGACAGTGCATTAACCGGGCAATGCAATCAGCAGCGGGCATGACAGTGCATTAGCGATGTAATGTAATAGTATGAGGGGCCGGCACGGCCGCGAAGTCCTACGGCTGTAACGCACTGATTCTAGCTCAACACATTCCTCACTGGGCTGCGAGCTTTTCAGTTGGCCCTCGTCTACTGCACCCCCCTCCCCCCGAAAAACCGTAATCTGGTTCGGTCTTACTCGCAACTGCAGAGATCTCGCGGATGATATGCATCATATCAGCATAAGCGACTGCAGAATAAAAGATACCCACCGGTGTCGCCAAGCCTATCACAACGCATCGTTTCGGCCAGCATCACCAGGAGGGTGTGTTTGGAGCTAGCATTGATGACATTGTGCAATAATTTGAAACCCGACATGGTGATTTGTCGGCATTATCAAACTGCGGTAATCGCACATTTAAATGAAGGGAAATTTCGCGCCGCAGATACGACATTACACCTGTGCTAACACCCCCGCCCCGAACATCTGTAAACAAGGCATCGGCACATAAAACGACACTCGCGTCACGCGGTCACCTAATATCCCGCCATCGTGGTTCATAACCAACACAACTCGTTCGTCCAGACACGGTCGGACGCCGCTCGCCATAGCCAGTGCCAGGAGCGTGATCCCGGTACGGTGCGCCGGTGCTCACCAGTTACACCGGGACGGCACCGCGGGCGGCGGCCCACGAGGTGCCGGCGCCCGCCCAAGCCTCCGGGGCGCGCCGCCACAGCGCCGCCCCCACACAGCCGTCCGTCACCGCCGTCGCGTATTGCACCGCGCGCCCGGTCCGCGCGCTTCAGGTACGCCCGCGCGCGCGCCTCGCTGGCAGGCGGCGCGGCCGGCTAGGCGGCGCCCGACCGGGGTCAGCTGGCGCCGTGCTGGCCGCCGCCGGCCTGCCGCCGGTCCAGCAGGCACGGGTCCGTGTGCACGAAGCAGGGCCGCACGGAGGCGGCCGACACGTGTCCGGAGCGTGCCTCCGTCATCGGCGCGCACGCCGTCCACGCGTCGCGCGCCGGGTCGTACATCTCCACCGAGCTGACGAAGTGGTTGCCGTCGAAGCCGCCTGGTGACGCGGCCAAGGGGTCAAGAGGTCAGCGCGGTCCGGCAGCACGCGGCGCCCGGGTAACAGTCATCGCTCAGGCCCCGGAGGACGGCAATTGCGCTGCGACCAGTTTGTGCCCGCAGTTCTTGATCGTGTGTGTGGGTTGGGGTCATGAGTTTGAGCTTGCGACCCCAGCCCTCCACTGCGAAACAGCCTCTCCACATACCGAAATGCCACGACGTTGGCATTTCGGTAATCTTATCGGAGCATGACAAAACACTCCAAGACACTCCCGGGTGGGCAATGTGTACTGTCAATACCAGGAAGAAATTAATCCACCAAGCAACCGTCGCCGGTCGCGTGGCGCACGACATTAGTAAAGGGCTGACGTTTGACATGGGCACGGCACCGCTCCCAGCTGTTCTTCAGAGTGGACTTTCCCATCGGATGTTATCTGGCTGCCACCGAAGCAAAGTCCTCCAAGCGTCTGCAACAGTGTTAGCACATAGGCGTCTGACCCACGGCTTATCATCGTGGTGATCCCCGGCCCTAACAGGTGACAGCAAACATGACTGAGCAGCTTGAACGCATGGGAAACAGGCCGCACCACTCCGGCGGCGGCATCGAAGTGAAAGTCATCCTTATGCGACACATCCGCGTACAACACGGACCACGGCGGCCGCGCACCGGGGGCACCTGCGGAGGCGTGCGCAAGTCACGACCCTCACGTGGTGCCGGGTCAGCACCCCCCACACACCGCCTCCAGGAAAGGTTGGCGCCCCCCCCCCCCCCCCCCCCCCGCCGCCCGTGCCGGTGACGGTTGCGGCCGAGCCTCCGGCGCACGGGTCAGGCCGCTGCTGGGGCCGGCGGCGGTCGGACCACTCACCGAGTGCGTACAGCTTGCCCTCGTCGACAGCTACGCTGAGCGCCGACTTGGGGGCGGGCAGCGGGCCGCCACCATCTCCCAGCGGCGCTCCTCCGTGTCGTAGCGTTCGACGGTGCGCAGCTGCTGGTTGCCAGTCGTAGCCACCCACCATCGTACACGAACGGTCAATGACGCCGATTGCCTGGGACGAGGGGTGCGGGCGGGTCAGGGTCAGGGTCAGTCCGGGCGGGCAGCGGATACCACCCCGCTCGCAGCTAACGACGGCGGTCCCGTCCACGGCTCGACGACACATCGGACAAGCCACATCCATCACGTCAGCCCACCACATGTCGTCATGAGGAGCCAGCTATCACAAACATGCCCCTTGACAACTGCTCTCCCGATCAGGGCGTCCCCAGCCGGCTGGCGCGGGGCCGCCGGAGGCGTGCCGGTGCGGTGACGGGGCGCGCCTCTTCGCCGCCGTTTCCTCCGCGCGTCGGCGCGGCCTTCGGGAAGGTCCGGCCCCGTCGGCCACGCGCCTCCGAGGGAACCACCGGGCACGCGGACAATCTGGCCAGCTGCCGTGACTCGGCACAAACGGCGACCGGTCCGGCCGGGCGCCGCGGGCACCGCCGCTGCAGTCACGGGCCGACCGCGAGCGTGCGCTGCACGCGGCCCCGTCACAGCCGTAACGCCCCTGCTGACGCTGCACTACCGCACGCCTCGACTTCCCGGGCCGACGCAGCACTCGGCGGTCGGGAGAGCGCGGCGGCGGTTCTTTTTGGCG